TGCAAGCTGCGTGCGGTGACCGATCCGTATGGAATAATTTTTCCCCGAGCAGAGGTTTCACTTCGAGCGTGAAGGTTGTGGCTCGATGCTGTGAGGAGAAAGCAGCGGAACATGGCCTTCTCCTCACACCGAAGCGGCGGAGCAGTAATGCAGCTTCGGTGTGAGAAGAAAGCAGCAGAACAGGTCCTTCTGCGTTGCGATCCTGCCAGCTAAGTCGCGGCAGGAAGACATAATCCCATAGTAACATAAGGCGGGCCTTCCAAATATTGTGAATCACTACTTCCATGGCGGTAACGAGGAGGTGAAGGAAGTCTTCTCCTCTTTATTGTTGTTCATGGCTGCATAATTCCGATTTATAAAGGGCTCAATGGCATCTTCTTAACCAGTTTGTTCAAAATGGCATTTTTTTTATTTATCATTTGGATAGATTTTCTAAAGTTAGCACATTCTAATATATTTGTTGTACCTAATTATTTTGGGCATTTACATACATAGCATTAAAATATTGTTATTTACAAATCTATTCTAAAATACCAGGATGAGTTGTCTATTTATTTGTCTCATTGCTGCTACAATATCGGAGATGATTATTATTAACAATATTTTGCTATTATAATTTTGTACTGTTTTTAAGTGAATTGCTACCTTAAAAGTATTAAATTTATGGTTATCATAGTTTTGTTACGCACAACATTACAAAACAGAGGCAGAATCGTCATTTTTACAGAAACAACTGTCCCACAGTTATTTTCACACAACTGCCCCAAACATGCAACCAGCTTTCCCACTGCAGCTTCCTAGGGCAGTGCAACTGCAGCTGTGTCAAATAGAGCATAAATTATTATGGGCACTCGTCATGACTTGCAGAATCAGAGCTCAGGGTATGATAAACTGGTTTGATTAAACCGCCACAAACATATTTAATACATTTTATTTCATAATTCATTCATATTTATTAACTCGGAGACGTGGAAAATCATATCACCAAAACATAAATATCTATTCAGAACTGATAAATCAAACATACATAAAATACATATCCAAAAGTCTGTACAATGACCCAAAACTATGAAATAAAAAAGGGGTACAAGTCACACCTGACTTACTAGCCATGATGCTTCTTGCCTCTTCTTAAAAGTCAATAACGTGGAGTGAGCAACAACGGTCCTTGCGAAAAATTAAGGCTAAAATAAAATTTTATGCTCATACGTAATTCATATAAATGTCTACAACACATGTCACAACATATTATATTCATATAAAATATGTAAAAGAAAAGACATATAAGAAGCATGATTGTTGTATAAAACATGTATTTTATCTATTCATGTATAATCATAAACCTATTCATAAGATTCATCAACATAATTATAGAAATATTACTTGCAGTTGTATAAGCCTCAACCATTTTCATATCATGTCAAACACTGGGTTGTCACCCAACCCGAAGATCAAATTAACTATTGATAAAGATTGCCCCCCCCCCAATATAGCAGTAGTTAATAGCCCCCATGGTACAAACGATTATGTACATTGTATTGTTGTCTGATCCTAACGGTTCATAAAGTTTCTTCTCCATCTGAATACTAGGAGTCAGCAATCACACTGTTCCCTATGATCCGTACTTGCAAGTAGTCATATAATAGTCTACCTATAATATTATAGTGAAATTTATTAAATCATAATTACTATAACAAGCATTCATTATAAACATTTCATATATCATATACATGAATCATAGTAACTAAATGCCTGCAAGTAATGAATTCATTACATGTTTACCAGATTCATGGCAAAGTAAAATTATAAGTATCGTAAGTGAAAAGAAATTTGCATTCATACAATGTATGCAGGTATTCATCAACAATATACAAGAAAGTTTACATGCAATAATGTTAAATACATAATCGCATGGACCTACAGAGAGACTTAAATCAGCATGTGATTATTTCACCTTGTATCAACAGAACAGCCTTAAGACGAGTTTCCTCGACCTCGCCGCCTAGTGTAAACAGCTTGGAATTTATAAACCCTTAGAATATTCATGAATTTCTTGGCTTATATCGCGATTTATCCTAAACATAATTTACTTGCGAAACTTATCTCAAATGGACTTCCCCTCATAAATCTTTCCTGATAACTTCCTATTTCACTCTTCTTTCCTTCGCCTTCCTCCTTTCTCCTTTTATTCTTTTCTTAGGCTGCTACAAACTCTAAATTAATATGTTGTATATTATAGTGATTAGGAATGCAGAAATAACAAGTTTAGATTTACTAAAATTAACGAACTATACAAACATATATACATATACCTTATACTCAAGCCCAAAAATCCTTCACAGGTTTAAACTCCCAACTTTGCACTTCCACCTTCCTATGATCCGCTTACGGACATAGAGAAAAACAAGAGAAATAGTATGAAAAAAATGGAAATTTACCTTAAAAAAAACAAGAAGCACAAACTTTCAAATATACATATACATATATATATGTATATGTATATGTATATTTGAAAGTTTATCTTAATTACCTCCCAACCACCTCAATTTCCCTTAAGCTTGCTGATTTTTTCCTAAAATAAATAAGAGCAGCAGCTCTCAGTTTTCTCCCGATCAGAGCCCTGCTCTACTCAACTGTGTCAGGCTCTCGAAGTGGGAAGTTGAAGGAAGTAAGGAACCGGGAAGATTGATAGGGAAGAAACCAGATTGAAGTTTAGTTTAATAGATATGTATATACATAGATAAGTTAAACTTAATTGAAATTAGTTCTTGTCGTTAGATTCAATCAGGCTATTGCATGGCTTGATAAGTAGAATTCTCTGTTCGCTACACTAACCTGATCAATAAATCAGTGATTATTTAAATTAATTAATGATTAAGATTTATTTGATTAGTTACTTTTTCTAAAACTAATTATAATAATAATTTATATATTGTATTATATATCAATTAGATTGAATACAAAATGTAAAATTTTATAAAAATAATTTGGGCAACTTTCAGGAGTTGTGAAAAATTGGATATATTTTCAAAATTGTCAAAATTTTACTTGTTTCTCAAAATTGGGTGTTAAAATTCTCCCCTTCTTTTAATAATTTCGTCCTAAAATTTTTTTAGTTAATTTTAACATAAAGTAATATTTCCGTTGCATTTCTTGTTCTTTTTCCCATGTAACTTCTTTTTTTGACATGTATTTACATTTTATCTTATTCTTAAATTTCTTAAGATCGATTTCTAAAATTCATTTAGGCTCTTAAATCTATATTACATTCTTTTCTACTTCTATATCTTCATATGAAATCCGTTAGCTTGCATTTGAAACTCATTTCTTTAACATTGAAATGTGAAACACATCATGAATGTCTGACATATCAGCAGGTAAAGCTTGTTTGTAAGCAACTGAACTAATTCTTTCTATAGTTTCAAAAGGATCGTTGTACATGGGACTCAACTTGCTTTCCTGGCCAAATATAATTGTACCTTTCATTGAGCCTGACTTCTAAAAATACAAAATCACCAATTTTAAATTATATTGTTTTGTCCATTGAGTCATAAGACTTTTGTTGTTTATCCTAAGCAACTTTCAATCTATCTCATATTAACTTGATTTTTTTCTGTGTCTTCATTAACAAACTCAAAACCTTACATTTGACGTTCTCATACTTCAATCTAACTCAATAGAGTTCTGTATTTCCCGTCATATATTGCTTCATAAGGAGTCATTTAAATATTGGACTGGTAATTATTGTTGTATGCACCTCCAGCATCAGGATGTGATCTTCCCAACTGTCTCTAAAGTCAAGGACACAGCCTCAACAGATCTTCTAATACCTAAATTATCCTTTTTTATTGTTTGTCGATCTGTGTATAAAATATTGTGCT